GAATCATTCGGACTCAAACATGCCAAGTAAATAAGCAATTCGGTATTACCTTCAGCGAAACGATCATCCAATTTTGTAAGTTGGAAATCAATGACCTCAAAAAAGAGCTCCACTTTGTAATGATGATGATTGGTCTTTCTTGGAGCCTTACGCAATGAATTCCCTTGAATGACATATAAATCATCCATATTAGGCGCCTCAATTTCATGTTCAACACAAAAAGATGATACTTTATCAACCAAAAGATCAAAATTTTCATCGTTCCTCATGCAACGTAGTTGTTCTTTACATGTCTTGACTAAAGCCATTGCATTCACAATCTCTTGATTTTTTTTTTTTTTTTTTTGCAATGCTTGTGACAAATCATTTGTAACTCCTAATATGGATTTCATCAAAAAGAGGAGGAACACAAACTCAAAAGATTTACAATCTTTTAATTACCTTTTTGCTTCACCAACACTATCATTGTAGCAATCTTCAACAATCATGTCAAGCACATCCACCACAGATGAGAACATTGTAATCAAACTAATCAAAGCACCATAATGTGAATTCCACTATGTATCCCCAACACGTTTGAGACTAGTTTCTTGATTTAACCCTTGCCCTGTTTCAAGACAATCATTTTCAATAGCTTTCATGAGATTTTTTTTTTCTCTCTAAGTGCATCACGACGCTTACATGAGCATCCAACAACATTCACCAAACTATTAGTCAATGTGAAAAAAGTGGCAACATCGGAGTTTTTCTTTGCTACGACAATAAGAGCTAAATGTAGTTGACGAGCAAAACAATGAACAAAGAATGCACAACTTTCTTCATACAATTTTTTTTTATTTTTTATTTTTTATTTTTTTTAAGGCCATTGAACTCACCTCTCATATTACTCGCACCATCATAACCTTGACCTCGTAGGTTGGAGTAGCTCAAATCATGTAGTTTCAAGAACTCATCAATGGACTCCTTTAGTTTACTTGAAGTTGTTTCGGTAACATGTTGGACTCCCACGAACCTTTCAATTACTTGACCTTTTGTTGTCCACATAATGCAAAATCACTGCCATTTGTTCCTCTATTGAAATATCACGTGATTCATCTACCATTATAGAAAAAAATTTACTCTCTTTCACTTCTTTCATAATAGCCTTAATAATTTCGAAGGCACATGAATTGACAATATCTTTTTTAATTGGAGCTATTAGCTTGAGATTTCCCAGAGCATTTTCCAACACAACTTCCTTTATTTTCTCATGGTCCGCAAGGAATTGCAAGAGCTCTAAATAATTCCACCTATTATTCGAAGTGTCACTTTCATCGCGGCCACGAAAAGGAAGGCCTTGTCACAACAAGAACTTAGTAGCATTAAAGCAAAGACGATATTTCATACACTCCTCTTCTGACTGTTTGATCACAACTGGTTCAATATGTGTCTTTTGGTTCATTAGATAACTAGCCGCTTCTCTAGCGTTATTGTGGAAATTACCAATAGGACCAACATGTTTGTCAAAACATTCTCTTGCATTCTTCCATTTCTTAAAGCCTACCCCAGTGAAGGCATCGCTTCATAATTGTGAAAAGTTGATTTTAACGAGATAGCAATGAACACAAGATGCCGCATCTTTAGATATACTATACTCCAACCAATCATATTCTTCAAACCATGAAACAACAAATCATTGCTTTGCCTTTGCATGCAAAGTGTATGGGAACTCATACTTTGTAGGCCTACAAGGTCCCATTTGCAAATATGCTCTTCGGACCTCATCTTGAATATTAGAAGGATAGTCCTTCATTCGAATTCTTTTTCCTGAGTGTCTCTCAAGATTATTAAAATCAATGTCACACTCATTTTGTCTTGAGCTCGAACTACCCAAACAAGTAGATGGTGCTATTGACTTTGGCTTGAAAAATCTTTCCATATTTCTTATTTCTAAAGTACACATTTAACCAAAAACACAAAACATATACCAATCAACCAATAAACAAAAATTCCATCTAAATTTCAATGATAAAATGAGTATACAAACATAAAACATATCAACAATCATATCAATAATAGACTAAAAATCTCCACCAATATCTAATATAATTTAATTGAGATTATATTAGAATACCAAAAAACTTACTTGAATTTGGAACCAAATAGTGGTGGCTTGGAGAATCGAAACAAGTGGAGGTAATTATAATATGAGATTGGGTGGGATTAGAGATTTAGGGTTTTGGGTGAATATAAGAAAGATGGGGGGATTAGGGGGAAAAGCAGAGGAACGGGGAAAGGAAAAGCGAAAGGGACTCTCGGGATAGGAAAGATGGCCCATGTGGGGCTAGGCTTTCAAAAAGAATATGGAATCATGTTACAAACGGTGGAGACAAACGGCACTGTTTGTCTCATTGGTTTAATAAAAATTAAAAAATAGGCCAAAACACTGCGTTTTGGACCAATTTTTTAAAAAGCCCTGTTGTCTTTCTTCTCCCCTGCCGTCTTCTTCTCCATTGCAAGTTGCAACCTGCCGCCTGCAGCACAGACAGTCTACATAGACCTCGTGTTCGAGTACGAGGGGTCATCTGTAAAATTTCTAGCAGCATTTCAAGATCACCGAGGGGTCCTGGGACCTCCCAAGTCCCTCTATAGATCCGTCTCTGAATATGGGAAAGAGTGATGTTATTCCCATCCCAATGTCTTATCTTTCCACCCTAAGGTTTGGCATGGGAAACAATTTGTCTACCTTAAACCCTAACTCATATTTTCATGTCCTTTCAATCAGAGAAAGTAAAAAATAGCAATGGACTTATAAGGTGACTTTTTCATTGAACAGGTAGAAGATGACGCTTTTATGGAAGAGGTAGAAGATTATGTTTCCATTGAAAATGTAGAAGAATAATTTGTGTGTAGGTCATTTGAATTTGTGCATCGTATTTTTAAATTTGTTGTTGTCGAATTCTTTTGAATTTGGATACCTCTGTCGTTTTCATTTGAATTTGCAGACTTTAGTGGTTTTCATTTACATATTATTTGTTATATTTTTTAAGAGACAATTTTATAATTTCATATGTATGTATATATTAAAGGTTATTTTGGGAATAATAGTGGGTGGGAAAATAACATTTTAATTTTTAACTTTTTATGGTGGGTGAGATTATAACGTGGTTGGGAAAATAAGACAATAGGATGGGTCTAGTAGCTCTCAAAAATAGCCCAACTTACTTATAAGTCCTTGCAAAGTTTCTCTTTTCATAGATATGGGACTCTTTAACCTTCACATACTCACATGCCCCTCACGTGTGGCGAATTTTCAAACCTAACCCGTGGACAACACAACTCCGGTGACGTGGATCACGTGTGGCCGTTGAGCTCACACTTGAGACAACCTGCTATGAGACCATAAATAGAATTGAGGTTCCTTCATAAAACCAATTGGCAATATAGAAATCCTTGCAAGGTTTCTTCTTTCACCAATTTGGGACTCTTCCACCTTATGTTTTTCTATAGAAAAAAAAAATACACGGAAAATCCTCTTACACTCTATTTGGATGAGGAAATTTAAGATTTTTAAGGAATTTTATAATGATGGAAATTGAAATGACGGAATTTTATTTTCTAGAATTTATGAATTTTATTGTTTGGTTAACCTAACAGAATAATAGAATTTGAATACGAAATTTGTTATTTTTAAGCTCTCACTCATATAAGTTGAGAAATGATATCTATTTACATGAAATTTAAACTTGAGAATTGGAGGTCCCAAATTCCAAGCTTTTTTTTTCCACGCGAAAATTTTAAATTTCTATGTTTATGAATCAAAACAATAGAATTGATGCATGTCAATTTATAAATTCTAATTTTTTTTCCGAAATTTCATACTTATTTCCCTCATTCAAGCATAGTGTTAAATGACTAAAATTGAAATAATCCTAGAATCAAGTTGATCTTGCCTCATTAGTCATTAGGAAGAGTCAGTTATATAACAATCCAACAAGAAGAAGACATCAGCCGTAGCTTCTGTCACAAAGTTTGCTTCTGGTAAATATGATGACATTCAATGGCAAATGAAAATGGTACCGATAACAACACCAAAAAGGACTTCAAAATCTCCCTCCACTTCCAAGTTGGTATATATAGATATATGGTCCATCTTATGTTGCCCTATTTCTTGTCAATTGTCATGCTTTTGTTTTAGATTTACCAAAGGGATTTCCTTACTGTAGATAGATATGCTAGAAGATGGCATTAAGAGGTTGTAACAACTTAATCACAAATTCAAATCTCATTTGGAAGATAATACTTTCGAAGATGGTTTATTACTAAAGAGATGGTGAAAACTTGGGGCTAGTTTAGTTATACTTTTGAAAATACTTTTCCAGTAATCAGATATAATAATTAGTGTAAAATGTATTTGGCTAGTAATTTAAAAAGAATTAATTTTGAAAATGAAGAACACAATATTTAAGAAAATCCATTAACAAGCCGAGCTCAAAACAAGTTTTTCACGTCATGTACATAAGTAAGAGTGCGAGTTATATAACAAATTCTTACGAAAAGCCTATGAGTATTCTATAAGAAAATGACAAATAGGATTTTTTTATTTATTTTATAATTTAAGAATGCTTTTGGTTATTTAATTTGAAAATGATTTATGAGAAATAAAACATTGAAAATGTGTCTAATATCAAAATCTAAAAGAAAAGATTAGGGTCCCATTCCTCAATTTTTTTTGTTTTATCAATTTAATGTAGAATTAAAAAGTAAAATTTGAATGGTTAGTTTTGTATCAAATAAAATAAAAAATAGTAAAATTTGAACATAAGATCCTCCATAAAACTCGAAACTGACTCGATCACTCCTAGTTTTTATAGCTATATATGTTGTGGTCTTGGAACTCCAAGTTTATTTAGTACTGTTGAAATTGAATCTCGATCTACCAGGTCTTAGGGACTTGTAGTTTGATTTAGTCTGGCTCTCAAATTGGTGGTTTTCTTTCCTCTGTATATATACGTGTGAAGAATTCTTGTGGAGCAAATTGCCAAAATGTCCCAAGTGCGTGAAAGTGAAACTCCTGAAGATAGGGTGGTCGAAACACTATCTAGGTTGCCGCCCAAGTCTCTGATGCGATTCAAATGCATACGCAAGTCTTGGTGCACTCTCATCAATACTCCAAGTTTTGTTGCCAAACACCTCAACAATTCTATGAACAACAAACTATCGACCTCCACTTGCATCCTTCTCAACCGTTGTCAGAATCGTGTTTTCCCGGATAGAAGTTGGAAACCAGAAGTTTTCTGGTCCATGATTAATCTTTCCATTGATAGTGATGATCACAACCTTCATTATGATGTTGAGGACGTCAATATACCGTGTCCATTGGAAGGCCATGATTTCGTAGAGATTGGTGGCTATTGCAATGGGATTGTCTGTGTACTAGCATGGAAAACTCTTCATTGGATATATGTTATTTTATGCAATCCTGCAACTGGGGAATTTAGGCAACTTCCCCATTCATGCCTTCTTCAACCTTCCCGTTCTAGGAGAAAATTTCAGTTGAACACGATCTCTACATTATTGGGATTTGGTTATGATTGCAAAGCTAAAGAATACAAGGTCGTGCAAGTTATTGAAAATTGTGAGTATTCAGATGCTGAGCAATACGATTATCATCGTATTGCTCTTCCTCACACGGCTGAGGTATATACCACGACTGCTAACTCTTGGAGAGAGATCAAGATTGATATATCAAGTGAAACCTATTGTTATACTTGTTCAGTGTACTTGAATGGATTTTGTTATTGGATTGCAACCGATGAAGAAAATTTCATACTTTCATTTGATTTAGGTGAAGAGATATTTCATAGAATACAATTGCCTTCTAGAAGAGAATCTGATTTTCAGTTTTCTAATCTTTTTCTGTGTAATAAATCGATTGCTTCTTTTGGCTCTTGTTACAATCCAAGTGATGAGGATTCTACATTATATGAAATATGGGTAATGGACGATTATGACGGAGTTAAAAGTTCATGGACAAAACTCCTAACCTTTGGACCCTTAAAAGGCATTGAAAATCTATTTACATTTTGGAAAACAGATGAGCTTCTTATGGAAACCTCTGGTGGAACAGCTAGCTCTTATAATTCCAGTACCGGAAATCTCAACTATCTTCATATTCCTCCTATTCTCAATCAAGTTAGAGCTTTTAAAGCTCTAATTTATGTGGAAAGTATTGTTCCAATCAAGTGAGTTGAGGGCAAATCAAGTTCCATTTTCTCCTATATATTTGAATGCATAATATAATATATATAGATGGAACTTTGTTTTGTTGAGACCATATCCACAGTAGTAGTACTCATAGCCTAGCACTGTTCTAAATCTCATCTTCTGTTACATTTAACTTTCATATATGAATTTTTACTGTCCCCCGTCCTGTATGGTTTTATTTTATTTTATTGATCAATTGAATGTCTTTGTTTGGTCTTCTAAACTCAAACCGTAGACATAACAATGTGTCTTTTTTTTTTTTTTTTTTGTTAAATTGCTACAACTCGTACTTTTGGTTTTAAAAATCAATAGCTTAATTAATAGTAGTAATTGATAACAATGTCAAAGAACTAGAAATGATGAACTCAGAAAACCAAAAATTGATACTAGCTTACAGAAATGAATATTGAGAGAGAGAGAGAGAGAGAGAGAGAGAGAGAGAGAGAGAGAGAGATGAAAGAACTATTTGTATTGATTTGTGAATGAATGAATGAATTGCACCATTTGTGTTTACAGTGCTATATGAAGAGTCGATGTTATACTATATATTTCACCGTAATCTTAGTATTAATTTATTGGTGAGCAAGAGCCTTATATTATGCTTCTGTTAAGCTCTTTGAAACTGAACTTTGCTTTTTGGATTGCCAAAACACTGGATTATTTCCCAAATACACTACATATCTTGTAATTGATCTTCTTGTATTAAGATCAGCTGTCCAATTTGCATCTAAAAATGTAGTCAATGTTGTTACTGTATCAATAGATCCCATTATGCAATTTTTGTTGTAGATACCTCAACATTCTCTTTACTACTCCATAATGCATTTTTGTACGAGAATTCATAAACTGGCACAGTATATTCACATCATATGAAATATCTGGTCTAGTGAAGGTCAAGTACTGCAATGATCCCGCAATGGTCCTATAAAGAGAAGTATTTGATATTATGGGACCATTCAAATTCAACATCTAATCATGTGGTTTACAAGGATTGGAGGCATGATTAAATGAATCCATACCTGCCTTGTGGATCAAATCTTTTATATACTTTAACTGGTTAACAAATATAACACCACTTGGTTTATATAAAATCTGTAACCCCTAGAAAGTATGTCAATTGTCCCATATCCTTGAGTTCAAAAACTTCAGACAATTCATCAATCATTTTCTGCACTTTAAGAGAGTTAGACCCTATGAGTATGATATCATCAACATGTAGGAGAAGAATGACTGTCACTGCCATCTTTCTTGTTGAACAAGCTTGTATCAGAAGTTGAAGAATGAAATTACATAGCTGCTAAGTACGATTTGAATTTTGAATTCCATGTCCTTGGAGCTTGCTTTAAACCATATAGAGACTTGATGAGTTTACACACATGAATAGGATGAGATGCATCTACAAACCCCTATTTTTGTTTCATATAAATTTCTTCTTGCTCACCATGCAGAAATGCATTTTTTATATTAAGCTAAGTTTCCAATGGTTAATTGCAGCTAGAGCTAACAATATTCTCACAGTGGTATGTCTAACCATTGGACTAAAAGTGTCAAAGTAATTAGTACCTTGCATGCTCTTGAGGTAATCCTTGATCCACAAGCTTTGCCTTATATCTGGAAGCACTACCATCAAGATTTTTCTTCACTTTATAAACCTATTTGCTACCAACAATGGATCTATCATTAGAAGAGGTGACTAAAACCTATGTTCCTTGACTTCTGAGAGAATCATATTTTTCTTGCATAGCTTGTTGCCATTGTGTCCTTGAAGCAACTTTTTTGAATGTAGATGGTTCTAAGACATCAATAATTTCATATATAAAAGTATACCTAACAAATTGATCTTCTTCAGTTAACTACAGAGACTGTAACTTAAGAAAAGAAGCTATGAAAGCATTGCAGTCCTTTTTCTGAATAATGTCACTCTTAATCTTATTACCATTTGATGCATAAAACTAGAAGTATTCATATTAGTAGAGATGTTAGTGCCAATGGTGATTCATTTTGTGATGAGATAGCTGCTTGAAAGGATAAACATCCTCATCATGAATAACATGTGTTGAAATGATGAATTTACCACTGTGAATATCATAACCTATTAATCTTTTATATCCCACTACAGAACCCAGAAAAACATACTGACTTGACCTTGGTTGAAGTTTGTTGTCATTGTAAGGTCTGAGATAAGGGTATATTGCAGTCCCAAAAACTTCAAGACAATGAATTGTAGGATTTTCACCAAATAGTAACTAATAAGTGATCTGTTTTCCAGAGTTTGACATGGCATCCTATTTAACAAGAATGCTGCATATGAACAGGCGTGATACCAAACTAGCTCGAAAATGAGCTTCTGTCATTAAACTTGCTGTTTCAACAAGATACCTATGCTTTCTCTCAGCAAGTCCATTTTGCTGAGGTTGTGAGGACATGATACCTGATGTATGATACCCTTATGATCCAAGAAATTCTTCATCATTTTATTCAGATACTCCCCACCTCCATCATATTGTAGACATTTAATTTAAGTATTAAGCTGAGTAATGACAAAAGCATGAAACTTGGCAAAAATTTGGAACACATCTGATTTATTTATCATTGGGAAAATCCATATAAATTTGAGTAATCATTTACAAAACTCACATAATACATATACCCTTCTATAGATTTCTAAAGAGGTGGACCTTATACATCTGATTGTATCTTTTCAAACATGAATGTTTTCCTAACTTATTTTTACAGAAAATGACAATTTACACATTTTACCATAAATTTGAGAGGCAAGAATCACTACTAACTGATACACCTACATTCTTCAACATTATAAATAATACTTCCTCAAATAGAGGCCCAAACTTTTAATGCCAACTTTTAAGGCTAAATTGAGACTCTTACTTTCTTTCCAAGAAATGCAGCATAATTATCTAACTTTGCAACAAATGAACTTTTGAACACTTAAACTGGTATCTTGAACAATATGCCTATTATTACTCTTTCCTTCGTACAAAATCACCCGAGTTGCCTTGTCTTGTATAAAAAAACACTAAATCATAACACATGAACCAACAACCATCATCTCTACATAGTTTCTTAACTAATAACAAAATCATTGCAAAATGAAGAACATACAACACATTATTTAATACAAATGTATGATTATCTATAATAAGTTTGGATATACCATTATTCTTGACATTCAAACTTTTACATTGCCCATGGTAATTTTAGCTTCACCATTATAAGGAGTGACATGTTAAGATGTTCAAGATTTGTTGTCCATGGACATTCTAAGCCATTTGAGTTGTATTGGATGATTGAGTTGCCATTCCAATAGATGACTAAGTGAGTGATGGAGGTGGAGGAGACCCATGATAGGAATACTTATTCTTATGATGGCATTGTAGAGCAGTATGGCTTTTCTTTCCACATATTTAACAAACAGTTGGCTTTCTAGTAGCTTGATCATTATCAGTCTTGTAAAAACAATTTGGTGCAATGTGTGACTTCTTTGAGATACATTCAGGAGAACCAGAAGACTTTTAATTTGTATTCTCATTTTAGTTGCTTCATTACTTAAATCCACTTCCACTAGAAAAATTATTAGAACTACCATATTGATTCTGAGACCGCTTGGTGTTATTATTAGACCCATTAGATCCATTACAATCATAGAACCATGTTTCCAAAGTTGGAATAAGTTCTTGAGTTATTGTTGTTTCCATTGAACCTTATGTTATTGAAATTTAATCTCTGTTGTAATTGAAAAGGTCTTCCACCATTTCCAACAAACCCAAACCCACCATTGAAACCTCCATGAAATCTTTGTGAGTTGGAACTCTCTCGTTGCAAAAAATTCTAGTAACCACCTTGAATACCTTGTGCATTTGATGATTCACTATTTATATACATGGCATACATTAACCCAGCAAGACTATTCTGAGCTATGAAATCTTTCAAAGAGATGGATGTTTCCCTTGCAAGAATGACGGTCTTTATGACTTCAAATTCTGGTGGTAATCCTGACAGCACATCAATCATCAAACCATTCTCAGTGATTTTCTCCCATGTAGATACCAACTCATTCCTAATAACCTTCAATCTCAGTAAGAATTTGTCCACTGAATCAGACATTTTTTGTGCAGTGTGAAATTCAGTCTTTAACTAATTTATCCTCACAATAAAAACAGAGGCAAATCTTTCTTGTAAACTCTCTTAACCCTCTTGAGCAGTCATGTAGCCTATCATATGATCCTTGCTTCATCAGTTAATGTAGCAATGAGCAAACTCAGCAAAACCATATCTTTCTAAATCCATTGCTTATAGGCCTATGTAATTTCTTTTGTGACACCACTTTCATGAGTTATTACAATACTTTAGTGGACACTGGGTTCCCCATTGAAGTAATCGAACAAATCATACCTTCTAATAACTGATTGAAACTGGTAACTCCACTTTACAAAGTTATCTTCTTGCAATTTGACTATGATCATACCAAGTAACCCCTCAATCTTGACTGAATTCACAGCCATTGTAATGGATACAAAACAAACACTTATGACCTAAATCTTAATTAACAGAGAGTATAACATCACTTTTGGCTTTGGCCTTTTATGAAGTGACAAGAATCAACAATCTTGAACAATGAAGAGCATTTCAACAATCATCAGGAATTGGCATCGACCTTTTTAATTCCTCATAACAATCACATACATCATTACACAAAAAACAAGAATTGGCATCGGCCTTTTTAACTCCTCACAACAATCATATACCTCATTTACACATACAATCAAATAGATCATGTACACAAAATTCAAGAATTTTGATGAATCGAAGAATGAAAATACCAGCAACCCAAAAGAACGAACTTATATGCCAAAAAAATTTCAGCGATCGCAAACTGAACCTTCAATACGAGAAAACTCAAGGGAAAAGCTGGCGAAAGACTGTCCTAGGCGATTGATATCATGATAACAATATCAAAGAAC